TGTTTTACATCCATCATGTGTACATGGAACTATAAGGTGGTTATCAGTGATGGTAATATCATATAGATAATGAGTTGCATGTGATAGTGCCATCTACGTAATGAGTCGCCTGTGGTAATACCATATAGATGACGAGTTATTGTGGTTAAAACATCTAGATACTCATTTGCTTTTAGTAATATCATATAGATAACGAAATGTTTGTGGTAACGCCATATAGGTAATGTGTTGGTATGATTATATCATCTAGACAATCAATGCTTGTGGTAATATCATCTAGGTAATGAGTTGTTTGTGCCAATACCATCTGGGTAATGAGTAAGTTGTGGTAACACCATTTGGGTAATACATTGCCTGTGGTAATGTCATCTGTGTGATAATGCCATCTAGATGAGAGTTGCTTGTGTAATATCATGTAAGTAATGAGTAAATTGTGATCATGTCATCTGAGTAATGAGATGTTTATAATAATATCATCTAGGTAATGAGTTGTATATGATAATACCATCTATGTATGAATTCCCTGTGGTAGTGTATTTTAGGTTATGAGTTATTTGTAGCAATAACATCTTGGCAATGTGTTATTTGTGATAATAACATCTAAGTAATGAGTTGCTTCAGATAATATAATTTAGATAATGAGTTGCTTGTGGCAATACAACATAAATTAAACTGTAAACATTTTACAGTTGTGTAGGTAACCAAATGATAACATCTCAATCAACACAACCAGGATTACACTGTAACAATTATATAGTTTTGTAACTAACCAAGTGATAACGTCTCAAAACCAGAATTACACTTGACTAAGTTTAAGTAACGAGGACTGACGTGTTATATATGCTTATTAAATTTACAAGTTTAAATGGGGTGTGAACAAGGCAGCAGTAAACATCAAAACCTTACCCCTTGTAGATCTATTATTCCTCTGAATAGAGCTATTTGAAATTTGCTTGTAGTCATAGTAGCTGTCAAAACCCTGGCATGGCGTAACATACTTATTGTATTCTCTTTTGCACGACAACATAAGGTGGGTGTGTTCTGATGTGTGGTGAATATTCTTACATTTCTGTGCCAGCTTCGTAAAAAATGGGAAGGAAAAATCCAACCTGTGAAAAACCAGTAAAATACTTGGTTGTTTTTGGAGTTCTTTTGATATATGCTCAGTGGTAAGGCTTGGTAACAAAAGATGTATTGAACATTGTCTGTGGTTATACGTATGAAGGTAACATCTGGAGATTTCAGCTTGTTTTTTTACATTAAACTAGAGAGACCATTAAATATATGAAGAGGTTGAGTCTATTAATTCTATTTGGTGAGCCTATTTAATTATATTTGTATTTGTTGGTAATTCAAACGAATGAACTGTAAATACAAAGAAACTCGATTCATATTTTTGGCGTACAGATGCTTGTTTAACCTATTGATTGAGATTGCTCTAAACGGACTTTTTGCAAGCCGTACACCGTATACGGCACACTCGCATTCAACTGCGAATTAGCAGTCAATGGGTTAAAAATGACTCCTTATGTACGGAGTTACTTATTTTCTACTCCTAATTTTAGGACTTTTTGGATATTGTGCACCACAGTTTAGGGATTTATTAAGTATTTTAAATCCTCCATTTTTACATATTTAAACTTTTTGGACAGCAAGACACTTATTAGTGTTAAATAATATAGTGCATGTATGAATATGTCAATTAAAGATGATGATTTACCACCTATTTTTATACGGCTTTTTACACCCGAATTTGACCCATAAAAGTACCCCTTTCCTGAGAACTTTGGAACAGAATAATTTTGCTTTGTATTATTTTCTTTTGGTTTGTCATATTTCAACATCGCTTATTTTTTACCCAGAACCAACACATTTACGTATTTATCAATAAGTTATTGAAAGTAAGCAAATGGTATAGATCAGAACTAAAAAACTAACTTCTAAGTTAATGAAACTCATTTGTAGAACAAACTGACTGGAAGAAAATAATAGCATAAATTTCTACATAAAAAAACTAAAAATTGATTATGATTAGAATGTATTGATTTATCATGTTGGTAATGATGCTATTATCGATGATTTCGGTCGTAATCCCAGTAATATCTCCCGAGATTCAGCCAGCTTATGAGATTTAGGGTATAGTTGTAAATACAGATACTAAGATGTGCTGGAGAATTACCTTTGTAAGTGTAAAAACTAATTGTATTATTAAAAAAAGAAGATTTAAGCGTTGTAACCAACAATATTGATGGAACTAACTTCAAAGAAAAGTGGAATACAACATCACTTACTTAAGAGACTAACATATTTTTCCCTTTTCGTGTTGCAACTTTCAGACGACCAGTAATGAAATTAATTATTTGTCATTCAGTTTAATCATCGTTGAAACGCGACTTGATTAAGCACACTAGCTAGAAACCAGCGTTGCCTTTATTTGATATAACATTCTTCTTGTTTAGATGGGAAGTGTAGTGTTATTTCAGTATTTAACCATAGTATATTATCGAAATACACGTTTGCTTTTATTTATTTGTCGTTTCACTGCATCTCTACATAAGGTGTTTCATGTAGTAACCAAACAAAAACAACGGTGAAATTAGATTTATAAATAAATGTTGACATCACCGTCGTTATCGAAAACGATTGGAGGAATGGTAAATGACTGACGTAACATTGAATTCTAAACAAAGTTGTATTTAACGACGCAGATATGGCACTGTCGTACGTTTTACATTTTGTTTCCTATACATTGAGTGTAAAGTTTTGAGGATTTTTTTTCCTATTTTTCTACATACAAAGAAAAGAAGTTTGAACAGGAAGTTAGCTGACTGATATATGTGTGTGTATAGTTCGTCATCATCGTATCCGGAGAAGCATTGATTGTGGATGACATCATTTATAGCCCTTCCCAGAACTTAACGAGTTCTATTTGGTTGGTTGGTTGTTGAATGAATGATGAAATAAGGCCCGGCATGGCCAGGTGGTTACGGCGCTCGACTCGCAATCTGCGGGTCGCGAGTTCGAATCCCCGTCCCACCAAATATGCTCGCCCTTTCAGCTGTGGGGGCGTTATAATGTGACGGTCAATCCCACTATTCGTTGGTAAAAGAGTTGGCGGTGGGTGGTGATGACTAGCTGCCTTCCCTCTAGTATTACACTGCTAAATTAGGAATGGTTAGTGCAGATAGCCCTTGAAATTCAAAAACAAACAAACAAACATGATGAAATAAACAATTTAAGTTAAGTACACATAAACTGTTTTTCCAGCTGTGCTTTTGTCAATAACGTATCACGTCAACCATTTAGTCACAACAGTTTCCACCTACAAAAAATAACGTCACCAAATGTTTATATAATTCGTTTACTTGAATATGACATATATCTATATTTGAGCCTCTGGAAATATAGTGTTAATGCATTACCAAACTTGGAAGAATCTGCATATGTTGGAATATCTCAGTTTGCTCATACGAAACAACGATTGGTTAGTTAGTATTAATCGAAACGGTGACTTTATGTTGCAACGTTTCGTGAGTGTGAATCAGGAAAATATTGGGACATTGAAACACTGATGCTTTATCAGTGTTAAATGTGGAATGGTAAGGTGATCTGGGGAGACAGAAACGTTGAGGTTTTATCTGTGTTTAGTGTGGAATTATAAGGAGAATATTGGGAGATAGAAACATTTAGGTTTTATTAGTGTGTAGTGTGGTTTGAAAAGAAGAATGTTGCGAGATTAAAATATTTAGGTTTTATCAGTGTGTAGTGTGGTTTGAAAAGAAGAATGTTGCGAGATTGAAACATTTAGGTTTTAACAGTGTGTAGTGTGGTTTGAAAAGAAGAATGTTGCGAGATTGAAACATTTAGGTTTTATCAGTGTGTAGTGTGGTTTGATAAGAAGAATGTTGCGAGATTGAAACATTTAGGTTTTATCAGTGTGTAGTGTGGTTTGATAAGAAGAATGTTGCAAGATTGAAACATTTAGGTTTTATCAGTGTGTAGTGTGGTTTGATAAGAAGAATGTTGCGAGATTGAAACATTTAGGTTTTATCAGTGTGTAGTGTGGGTTGATAAGAAGAATGTTGCGAGATTGAAATATTCAGGTTTTATCAGTTTAGTACAGAGTGATAAGCTCAACAAATTATGGAATATACTTTTGAGAAGCGTGTAAGAAACACCAGGGTCTAAAATAAAGTTTAGATCTATTATTACAGAAAAACATAAAGTTTATATGGATGGAAACTTCGAAACTTTCGCTTGTTCTCTTCAGTTCAAGTTTTGTTTGCGAAAGAATAGTATACACCCAAGTTCATGAGAATTCGTGGCGGTGATCCAGTTAAGGACCTAAGTATTTTAGACAAATATGAGTTAGAAGCAAAAACCACGCATAAGCACGTGGCTAGTTTTGAATTCTCTGAGCCGTTGTCATCTCAACATACATATTTAATATGTTCAGAAAATTTATATATATATATATATATATATATATACGGACGTCTAATTCCATAAGACTTAAAGAGAAAATAGACGACATGGTGTAAGGGAGGAAGAAACTGTTGCAAGCATTCCCCTCCTCACAATTTATACAGTACCCAGTTATTTTTGTTAGTATGTGTATTATAAAGCCATGAACATAGGCATCAGTTTTATGAATAATAAAACACAATGTATATATGAACACGGAATTAAAAGAGTTCAACACGTTACGAACGTAATTTCTTATTTTCGTGAAAATGTTTGGTTTAGTTGTTATAAGTTAGTTTTTCTGATTTTGTAATAATTATGCCAATTTTGTTATATGTTAAAGAAAATTGTATCTCAAGGTTTGTGCATTTTCATTGAAAATTTTATAATGTGTTAATTTTATATCGTTTTTTTTTCGGTGTTGATGTTGTCAATTGCATGAGTCACGGGTTTAAGTAAGTGCTGCCCTCTAACAAGCAAGCTGAAACTTCGTATCTTACGTTTCTACGACAGTTAGAGAATTTAAAGTCTGGGCATTTTGTGCTTTTAATTCAAGACGTCCGATAACATATATATCAACTGTAAGAAGTGTATAGGATGCATATCAAGTTTTGTTGCTTCTAAGACATATTGCAAGTACCCGCTAGGACGATCGATTTTGTAACTAGCACGTACTTCTAAATCTCCCTCTTTCAGAATGGTTGAACCCTGAATATGGTTCAGCTGTCTTGGACCAGCCCGTTTAGTATAGATGAGTTGGCTACTATCATGTTGGATGCAGCAACATGGAAGGTTATGGATTTTTGTCAGTTCGCATCAGTTCTTGGTCTTTGTTGCATAAGCGGTTGGCATATTAATAAACAGAAGTTCTTCGTAAGTAAAGGGTATGCATATCGTAAGGGTTATGGGTTATCTGGATCAAAGGCTGTGAACAAACATTCGTTTTTATAAACTTTCTGTTAAGACCGGATATGAAGACCACGTGGTTTACTGATGTTATATTGTAGTGATGACACAGAAAATTCCTGGTACAAGGAGATACTGCTTATTTGAGAAGCAATTGTATGTATCAGTTAGTATTGAAAACAGAAAGATGTGTTATCTACCAGGAGTTTGAAGACCAAATAATTGACTTAATGGAAGACTTCATGTGTTGAGAAGACACTTTAATAATAATAAAAAAAACAACAGACAACAGGTGTCTAGTTATTGAACATGCTGATAATGAGTAACAATGAATAACACTCTCCTTGTTTTCTTGTATGCCGAAGAAAATCTGGATGCCTTTTACTTCTTCACACTTTTATATTAAAACGTTGTTGACAAAATAATAGGTGATTTCATTTATACAATATGTCTTGGCAAATGACCAAACCCCCTACATCTCGTCACGTACCACCTCTTTGGGCTAACCTCCCCCCTGCCCTCTGGTCAGCTCTTATGGAGGACGGGGGTGCATGTTCTCAGTCTGATTCGTGTTCAGAATCATCAATGTTTTCTTCTAAAGTTTCCTCGGATGGATGTGATTCCGATTTAGAAGGTGAGATAGAAACAGAAACGTGAAAATATTTGACTTCTATTAACTGTTAATAGTAATGTATATTTTGGTGCAGGTATATTTGCATGTACTATTTTGTTTAGTTCATAACAGCTCCGAATTCCATGTCTGTATAGAGGTAAACTCCTTTTTAATGTTAATGAAGTTTACTTTTGTTTACAGATTTGGATAATAATATGCAAGCAAGTAAATAAAATTATATTACTGTAAGTACGCCATTCATAATGATTGCTTATTATTTAAATAAATGTCTTAGTTTATGAGCACTAGTAATAGTAAATAAAGATAATTTGATTTTATTGCAGCTGGAGAATGTGTCGAGATCAAACAAATATTTTCTTCCTGAAATGTTAGCAAGAAATTGAGTAAAATACAATTAGAGAAGAAGTAAAGAAACATCTACATTGGAAAGCAATGTTTTCAGCAGGATTATTATTATTATTTTGATAGAACTGGCTTCATTAATTTATTCGTTTTTTTTTTTGTTCTGGTTTGAAGTGGTAGCTTGCATTCGTTCAGAGAGATGTTGATGATAAATTCACACGAGCACGTAACATTCATGTAACAAGTCTGATTTTAACTCATTCTTTTTGGGACCCCCGTGGACTAGGGGATGTGCTATGTTACGTCTGGTTTATTTTATGTTTTTAGTGTAGTGGGGGGTGGTAGGAAAGGTTGGGTCGTCCGGTGGGAGAGAACTAGTGAGTGTGGGATAACAAGGAAAGAGATGTCTCCCTGCGAACCATTACCAACAAGATTAGACCTAATTTAACAAAATGAACTGGGAACACACACACACATACACACAGTTCATGACAGACGTAAATGAGTAACATTAGCAGCTGTCTGTAGAAAAGAAAAGTGTATGTGAAGACGTATCACTTTTTAATGTAACATCTGTGACTACGTTTGGATCTGATTTCGTAAATGTTGTTTGTTTGTTTTGTTTAAATAAATGATGCAAGTAGAATAGAGGTAAAGCCTTCATCACCGTTCAGTTTACCATTTCTCTGTATACTGTGATGTACTGTTGTTGAAGAAAAATATTTAAGTTTTTTTTTTGCCCAAAATTATATTTAGCCAAAAGTGTCCAGATATGATGGTATATGAAAATCAGTGGCAACAATTTCTGTTTATTCCAATTTTGTAGTTATGTGTCGAGCGTTAATAAGTTATTTTTGTTGGCTCCTACAAAACAAAAACAAACAAACAAACAAACCAAAAAATAACGACGTATTTATTTTCCTTTAGGAATCTGAATTGAAACAAAACATTTTTTTTTTTCCAGTATAAGATTTTCACAAATCTCGATCCTTTAGTTACGTGCTGCTTCCATGCCACGTGATTAAGAAATAAAATGTCACGAGGAGTATGCTTAGTTCTCAGGGGAACTCTGGCGTGGTCATCTGTTGATATTAAAATTAGAATATGGTATTCCCGGAATAAATCTACGCTGACGTGGAAACTGCTAACGTTACTACTTTTGCGGGATTGGAAACAGGTATACAATATACAATTAATGAGCGTGGGTTGTTAGGTTTTTTTTGTAGCGGATAAGAGCAGTATTTATTTTCTACAGAAAGCTGATAAAATAAATCGTTAAGACCGTACCCTATTGCCATTGTTTCGGAACTGCTTGTTACCACGACTACGCAGTTACTTGTAAATATTTTTATTCATTATGTAGTTACGGTACGAAGGCATACGTCGAAACAGAACAAATCGGACGGAATTGTTTAAAAATATGTTCTGTTGTAGGATTGTAAACCGTCTGAAAACATCTGAACGAATTTGTATTCCCCCTTTAGAACTGAGGAACGTTTCGATCTGCTGTAGCGCTAGAAATTCGATACGTCGTCTAGAAAGAGGTGAATGACTCCTGTTAAAACCTTTAAAATATTAAAATTATTTGATTGAAGTATGGTGGTACCAAGCTAGAAACCACCAGCCCACCCCTTTTTGCCCAATTTTCACAACGTGAAGACAACTAGATATTAGGAATGTGATAAAAAAATACGTAATAAAACTCCAAGGCAATCATAAACATATAACACCATCTAGCTTTCAGTCTAAAACAATCATTAGGTTAGGAGTTAGATGACAAGATGTTTGTGTTTTGTGACAGTATGCTTCAGTCACTCTGTCATCTACTAGCAGATGCACGTTTATGTAAATTACTGGCTTAACTTATTAGTCTTAGTTTACAACATAATTTTCTTATCGAAATGTTAGTGTGCTATACTTTGTAAATAGACTTTGAACATTGTTATCTGTTTTTGTCTCTCTTTGGGAAGTAATAACAGCCAAACATGATATCATTCCACGAAAATTTTGGACTAAAAAACAACAAAAACGTTTTATGAAACACAACGAGAGGGAGAAATTGATAATTTGTGTATCTGGTTTGTCACTGTTCAGACTATGCTTTACTGGCAACGTGTGTATCTGGTTTGTCACTGTTCAGACTATGCTTTACTGGCAACGTGTGTATCTGGTTTGTTACTGTTCACGGAGTATTAACTGAATTATTTGTTCCGCTTCAGTTACCATGGTTAATGACTTGTATTCAACAAACGTGTCGAGAATTCAGTAGTCGGGTGCGAAAGGCAATATTTTGTATTTGAAGAGATTGTTCAGACTGTGAGACAAGTAACGTGATCAGTTTATGTAAGATATGCCACGTAATTCTTGCTGGTTTTACTTTCGGTGACAGTAAGCGGGCCTGGTTCTGTCTCGTGATAAAAGTATCACCCCGAGTTTCGTGATAAAAATGAATAATTACAGTAAAAGGTCAACAGAAGTAAACAACAACCAGAACAAACACGATTTATCTTTTAACGAATATTGCGCCCTGTAAATAAAAAAGTGCTTCGTTTCTGTCTGGCCTTGTGGTTCCTTTGCCATTCTTCGTGGTGTATATGTTTTGTATTATGTGACATGTCATATTTAAAGTATCAATATAATTGTGTTTACGTCACGAAAAAAAGTAATCATATTCTATGGCTTTTTTTTTTTTAACGAAATCGAGTAGTTTACATATGATTTCACTTTTCATGGCTGAAAAATAGTTAGTTTTCTTTCACTTACGTTACTTTATATTATCGTGAACTGCAACCATTTTTACAGCAGCGGGGATAATATATTTTAACTCCCGTGTATGTGCGAACAGTACAACTCAAAAAGTTTTCATCTGATTTGATCATATTTCGTACAAAGTTAAATGTTCCCCAAGGACTGTTTTATTAAATGTTGTTGAATATAACTCGCAGGTTAAGGTCACACTGTTAGTAATTTTCAAAAATGGTCAAAACTGAGATACAAAGAGGATCTCGGCAATTGGACTTGCACCTCTGAAAGTGAAGAATTGTTTTGCGTATGTTTTAGGTTGGTAATTGAAAAAGTCGTAATCATTGCGGGGTGGGTGTTGCACTCTGTGAGTGCCTTTCTATTTACACTTGTCACCATTATACGGACACGAACGACATTTTAATTATTTTATTATTATTATTATATATACTAGCTGGAGTACCCGTCTTCTTGACGAAAGTCGTGTAAATTCATGATTAATGAAAGGTTGTCTTAGTACATGTAAAATTGCTTCCCTTATATGTAATTGTAAAAAACGCGAAAACGTCCATAAAAACCGCAAAACTGAAAATTTGCAGGTATCTCCCCATAAACCCAATGAACCTCCATACGAAATTTGGTGAACGTCCATCCACAGGAACTGGAGTAGTGGTAAAAACAAACAAACGCAAAATGCAAAACTGAAAATTTATATGTACCCCTGCATGGACCTAATGAACCTCCATACTAATTTTGGTGAAGATCCATCTACACCCTGCGAAGTAGTTACATGAACACACAACAGACAGAACTATTATATTTATATAGATATATTCATGTGGTGTGCAATTTACTTTCATTCAAACTTTACTTTTCGAATGAGGCTTCCTACTGAGGTTATTATAGTTGAGTGAATATTTTCTCTCGGCTCACAGTAGCTCAGCGGTAAGCTTCAGGTATTTATGACGGACGCTAACATTATGGGCTCGATCCTCGTGGCGGACGCAGTGCAGATAACCCATTGATAGCTTTGTTTTACTCGTTATTATTTTCACAGTTTTAACGCGAATAGAAAGTTATCAATCTAACTTTGTTATATAATTACTTGTACTTGGGAAGAGTTGGTGAGATTGTAGTTAATTGGATTTGTTGGGTGGTTGGATAGGAAAAGGGAAAAGGTTGTTATTAATGAAATTCAGTCAAACTAGACCCCTGTTGATACTGACAGGGACATAATTAGTAAAGTTTACTCACGAAATTCATGTCGTGGGTGTTTCTAGCTGTATTGAGGGTGTTGAGGTATAACAGAATAACTTGGATATCAAGGTAAGTTGAACAAATATTTAGCAAATGATCTTTAGTTATAGTAATTGCAAGGTAATACGGGGTTATCATAATTTTTGTTAACGTATAATATTGAGAGGAGTCAATTCAATAGCGTGTTTGGAGAAAAGGATATTGGCATAGTGATGGATAAGTCAGTCAAGCCGTTAAAGCAGTGCATAGCGCTGCTTATGTCACACATACCATCGAAGCAGTGCTCTAGCAACAATTGTAAACATCTTTAATAGTTGAACGTTCCGGAATTATACACGATTGGTCTTAAACTTCAAATGCCTAACTCTTCTATACATTCTCACAGAGAAATGTTATAACCCCAGAGGCGTCGCTAAGCACTGACATGCGGAGCTCTTGTCCCGAATCTCCAGTTGGTTTCTCGAAAAATTAGATAGAAAACCATGACCGATATCATACTGAAACGTCGAAACTTCCTGCTCCTATGGCCCCAAATCTTTTAAGCACGTAGCAAAGCCTCTTATCACCTCTTTAGAAAACTTTGAAATCCTAACTTACGATTGTACTGATTACGAACGTCTGTATAATACAGTTTACATATTAGGAATGAAAACCAAAAC